TTTACAAAAATCATTTCAAATTATTCAGCCAAGATGTTTATAAATTAAATAGCCAAACAAACAGACAAAAACAAATACACAGTTAAACAATGAAAACAAGTCCAAGGCTTACGAGGATGTGGTAACAAAAACAAGAGCGCCTGGAACTTCTTCGAAGATCATGAAGGTTTGCTTTGTATTGGTGTGTTCGTGGTGAGGATATATTTAAATTATATTATCCAGAGTATAGCAATAACTTTCCACAATAATGACTCGTCATGGGAAACTATTGAATCATAAATCCTCCGACAAAATTAAAACATCAAAGAAGCAAAAATTTATCGTGTTATCTTCAAACGCTTAAAAATGGCAGCACTGGACAAACGATTTTGTTTGGGTCTTTAGTAATATTATCAGTAGTGATATTGATATGATTTAAAGTAGTTAAATAGTTCACAGAGAGATAAATGTTTGAATTTTTGAGAATTTGTGCTAGTCAATCTCTGTATTCAACCTAACTCATTCATTAATATAAATTACATCGGGAAAAAGTATAAAAAGGGATTTGGAGGTAACGATTATTCGAAAGATTTAAAGTTCAAGTCACGGAAATGAGACGTTAATTTGAAAACCGATCATGTGATTCAAGAGCGCAAGTTTCCAAGGAAATGATAACACTTTCAGGGCAAACACGGAATATCTAATTTCTTATAATCATGTCGATTTCCAAACACACTGGTTATTGAGGAAAAAAAGTAAGCGATGAGTGAGCCCGTTTCACGTGATATTGATGATAAAAGACTACTTACAGGTAAATGAACAATCCAAAATAGGGGAAGAAGAAAATAAGTAGAACCCAGAGACATTTACTACATGCACCACGGTTGCTTGCTAGGACTTTTAAAGTGATCATGAAACGAAAGTTAGAAGAAGAAAACACAAACGTGAACATGAAGGAGAGTGCAAAGAGATTTTATTCTTACCCTCCCAGATGGTAATAACGTCGAGGATAAGCTAGAATGAATCGTAAATACAAGTGAGGAGATCGTGCGTTCATCGTGAAAAAAAAAAAAGGAAAGAAAGATCCGCCTTTACTTACAACAATAATACCTAAGACGCCGAGAATGAAGTGAATAAGTGTAAAGGCCATTATAATAAAATATTTTTATATAATGTGTTGCTTTCCGTCTCGTTTCTCTTTTCTTTTGTTGTAGATGGCGTGTGCGGTGAGCGGAAAGTTAAATGACGTTCGTTCTGATAAAAATTAGGTACGGCACAAAACACAGGTGAGAATTATATATAGTAAAGAACCTGGGGCGCGGATTCTAAGCCCTAGATAAAGAGATCTTTGACAAGCTGATAAATAGGGCACGTGAAAAGCCGAAAGGCTTCATCAACTGGTTACCCATAAGTTTATAGTCCGGGAGTAGGATCGTTAGAAGGTAATTTGTAATTAATTGGCAAATATTTTTGTAAGAAAATCAAAGCCTAGAGGCAAAGCGTAAGCTTTCAAAACGCCGAAAAGTCATTAAGGTTTTATTTGTTTTATAGGCGAATTGTGGATAACGGAAATATCCAATAGTGATAGCGAAAGAGTTACAAACACGAATCAAAGCCTGGAGGGCGACTTTTAAATAATATATTTTATTTGCAGGATCGAGAGACAAGGATTTGAAAATTTGAAAGGTAGCCACAGCCGATGTCAAAGCCTGTGAAATGTCGTGAAAAACTTGTGGTGTAAAATGCAAAGTGAAAAAACATCGGGTTAAAACCTCTGTGAAGCCAAATGCATTGGATCTTACGAGATCGTCATAAATCAGTTCTCGGGAATGTGTAACACCAGCGAAAGCTAAATTACAGTAAATTTATGTATTAAAGAAAACTTTTTGTGGCGTAAAAAACAAATATCTCACAGCCAATCATAAAACGAAGAAATTGAAGGCAACAAAAGAAATTTATAATTCTATAAGAATGAGCGTTCTTTCACGCTGAACGTTGACTTGAAATAATATTTAAAACGTTACACCCCAACCTTCACAACCCTCATGTCCCCAAAATCATGTCCCCGGGGAAATGCAATCCCATCCTTATACTGTATTTCAAGGTCCAGGGAGAGCTTCGTAAGTGCCGCGATCACGATTGGAGAACAGACTTTGTTAATGTTTTAAAAATATTGAAAGATTCGCCGTTAGACAGATTCAAAGAAGTTTCCAAATGATTATTCAAATGATTATGCGCAGCTTCACTTACAAGTATATGATTAAGCCAAGGAGAGGGAAAAATACAATCAACAAGATCCAAAGTAGTTTGTTAACAGTTGGTCTCCGGGATGTTTGTAAAATTTCAAATATCACTATAACGTCAAGGACAAGCTGAAGAAACAATTATTAACCATGAAGAAAACGCACATTAGATTTTTTTCGCTTGTTCTCATATAACCAGTTTCTGATATACACATGCGTTACTGACAATAATAAGACCAATAAGGCCGCCTGAGTAGTGAAGAAGCGTGTTCATTGTCTTGGGGAAAAAAAATTAGTTGGAAGTCTATGATGATGGATCAGGCACATTTATATGATTTAATGACGTAAGGTGATGCGATTGATTGCTCGTCTTTTGGAACAAATGTTTTTTAAAACCAATTTGCAGTAATGCTAATTTTGGCAAACGAACGATATTTAGGATTCAGGTTTAATGATTTCTTTCTTTTTGTTATCGTCACAAAATTGACATCGTTTTACTTTTGAAACAGAGATAAAATAATATACTGTATACCAGATTTTATGCAAAAAAGATATTTTACTGTAAATAAAACCACAAAGTGAAAACATTACATGCACGTATGTCACAGGTCAAGAGAGATCCCTTGATGGTGGATTTCTCTAAAACAACTTTCCTAGATGATCCATCCAATCATCATTGTTTTTTAAATGAAGCAATGGGTAAAAAAAAAAAAATAATGGTATGAATAATGCATTGACGAAAGACTTTTTCAATCCGTTGGATCTATATATAGAAACTAAGGAATTGGTATAAAATTGTTGTATTCTTGACGCCTGGATAAAAGGCTGTTCAGATAAAGATCATGGAGTGGGTTAATTTCTCTTTGTTGAAATGCCAAAAAAACATTTGATCGCGCACCGAGACATCATTCATTTACTTACAAATACAAAATCAAGCCGACAAAGGGGAAAATTACGATTAACAAGATCCACAATAACTTATCGCCATTTGTACGTCTACTTTTCAATATCTCGAAGACGGCGATTATATCAAGAATAAGCTAAAATCGAATGAAAAGGTGTATCAATAGGAAGAACTTACGAAAGGTTTAATTCTCTTGAGATACTTACAATAAAGAGACCAAAAATGCTGCTGGTAAAGCTAAACAAGTTGCTCTTCATTATTGGAATTTAGTGATGGGAAAGAGAATAGAATTTTTTTTTTTTTTTTTTTTTTTATTATAATAATAATAATATATATATATATCACATTTGTTTGATCGAGTGCGATAATCTAACGATGGCCTGTTTTAAAATGTAATTTATGACGATTGATATACCCCACCCCATGACAGGAATTTGGACCAAATAAGGATAGAGAGGTAAACAAGAAGGCGTAATTTATTACGTTATTTCAAAGAAAGTTATCATAAATGTCACACAACTATGGCACATTATTACAACAATCAAAACAATAAAGTATAGGTATATACAAGTGGCAACTAATGTACTATATAATAATTGCGAAAGTCAGAATAAAGTCAGAATACGTAATTATTTACATATAGAATTAGGTTGTATAAACCATTCGCGACGAAAGGTTTTTAATCTCCTGTATTTATTTAACGCCGGAGACGCGACTGTCGGTCCTGTACCTCTCGGGGACCGTTCTGGCAGCCCACGTAACTAACATTCCATAATAATCCTCAAAAATTCTCTTGTCTTCAATATCCTCCATATCGTAAACAATGTCCATATTTATGATTACACCAGTCCTCAAGGTGATGGTGACGGAGAAGACATTCTTTCGAAAGTATTTGTTTACCCGTCGCACTGAAGACACGACATCTTCCAGGAAAATGTGAAAAGTTTCAAAAGAATCGTCCGGCGTTGGCTCTTCAGCAATGAACATAATTCGTTTGTCAGTTATAAAGACCATTCCGCAAGGCGAGTATTTTGTGATTGTATTTTTAGCATTTTTTATTTCGACTGAAAACTTCACCGGGTAATGTCGATAAAAATAACTTTCGTCTTCCATTGGGTCGGGCTCTATCTCGTCATTATGGATACGTGTTGGAAGTGAGTTCACTGACATTTTTTATTTAATCGTTGAAATTTGCGTTTTTTATGGAATAAATGGTTTTGGTTGGTTTTTTGTGTTTAAATGCAAATGGAAAAGGCTTGATTATATAGTTATATATTAAATTCGATTAAAGGTCTGGTGATTTCTAGTACTACTGAAAAAAACGCATGATATGCACCGGTATATGGTGGAACAAACCATTATTATGCAATCATATTGTCTTTGCTGATAATTGCTTGATTCATCGAGATGGTTCGATCCTCCGGAAATACATCATCATATCATCTTGCAAATTAGCCCACCTGAGGTTTGATGCTCTTTGTGATATACACATATTTCGTTTCTGTCGTGGATAGTATTGGTCGATGGCTTTCCAATGCTATACGAACAAACCCATTTTCCACATACGCTGAATATAAAGTTTGTCTTAAAAAGTTTATATTGGAAGTGATCGACATTTAAATTCGTTATTTTCATCCGGATTTAAAACACGATTCAAACCAAATATAGGGATAGGTTCAAATTATTTGAATGGATTTTCGATTGT